CTGATAAGGGATAGGATCAAGAAACTTGCTTAAGGCCCTGTGTTTGTTTTGTCGCAACCATCGGAAGGTCCGGGGGCATCTATCTTCTGTTCCCATAGATAAAATAAAATTAAAATAAAGATACTTAGAAGTCATCAAACAAAGGAAAAATGCCCTTACAATGAGTGTTTCCTCGGTTCAACTCATGAGAGTTATGTCCCATCGGAACCACACTGCCACAAAGAACAGACATTACAGTAGCAACAAAATGTATTATTAGGTAGTATCATAATTAGCGATGCATGAGTTGAGGATTTTCAGGTAGGGTAAAGATTATAGGCGCGTCAAAGGAAAAGCGGCGAACCGAGTTCAAATTCCCGTTTAGTCGGTTGCGTACATTTTCGAATCATGGCCTGGTGTAAAGCTTCGATCCGTTTCTCATACAAGCATCAATGTTAAAATAATGGGGGAGACAGAGCATTTTAGTCTTGGTTAAATGACCAAGTGTAGGGGGAAGTTAAAGCTGGTAGTTCACAGTTATTAAAGTAAGAGTAGCATATATAGCCGACAGATTTCAAGGTCAATCCCTGTCAAATGGCTGACACAGTGTAATCTATCTCCGATACCATATACCATAGCAATAGTCCCTAAATGTTTTTGTAAAATTTCCACTCTCTCTTTCTCTCTCTATCTATGTAACTAACTAACTAACTATATATATATATATATATATATATATATATATATATATTATCTTCATAATGCAAATATATATAACCAGAACTAGCGGGCCTATATAGAGATGACGGAATCATCTTCATTCAAAATAACAATGGTCCGCTAACGGCGAAGTTACAAAAGAAAATGATTAGGGTCTTTAAATTAATAGGGTTTAAGACTGAGATTCCATCTAAACCTAAAACAGTGGATTACTTTCAGCTAACGTACATTTTCTTGGTTCTTTCTTTTTATGCCTTTTTTCCCCTTTGGTATTGGTTTGATTATTTGCAAATCAAAACACTGAAGAGTTTTCGAACAGTATAGTATCTAAATTATAAGATTACTACTACTAATACATATATATATATATAGTCATCCATTAATAGACTATTTTGCCGTATCACAGCTCATCAGTGTGGATAGACGTCCATGCCTCTAGCTAGATCGAAACCTGACTGAATTGGCGTCAATGGAGATTCTACCACTAATCCGTTGGCGCACGACAGAGATGAAAAGAATTAATTTAAAGCGTATTTATTTTTAGATAAACACACAGTGACTGAGAGAACTCAATTCGAATTAATCTGCATTCAACATCATCACTTGATAAGACACCAGAGGTGTTGAAACAAAATGGCTAATTTTGTAAATGATTTTATAACTTATTTATCTTTATAATTTTAAATAAATAATTATATTCACTCTACTCCTGTATTGAGCAATCTTTATGAATAGTAATTGTTAGTTTATTATAATTTTATTCATGTACACCAATCATATACTTATATATATATATATATATATATATATATATATATATATATATATATATATATATATATATATATATATATATATATTTTATAAATACAAAGTACGATAATTATTTTAAGACATTTTTATGTTTATTTTTTTTCTTTTTTATAGATAAAAATATTTTAAGTAAATGCTCTGTTTATAATCGACAGTATTAACAATATTTACCGGTCTGAATGTCCGAGAAATTTTCATAGAAAATATGCGTCTACTTACAGGAATCGAACCGGTATCTTATACCTTATACGAAACCGTCATATAGACTGACGTGTTTTTACCGATTTCGCCACGGCGTTAGTGGGGTCGTTTCCATTAGCAAGGTCGATTTTACTGTTTTTAAAATACAATTTTTCATGATATTCTCACGTACATTCATATCTAATCGATGCGTATCCAAATGTAAACAAAGGACGTCACACATTATGAAATAGACAAAGTCCGACAATTATTTTAAGACATTTTTATCTTTATACATTTTTATGTTTATATTTTTATGTTTAGGTGCAGCTGGTGTAAGATTTCTTTTTGTACACAACGACTCTTCTAAATCTTTTCCTTTAATGCAGTTGTACCCTAAACAGGTCGCTATTCTTGGACCTACATAGTTCATAATTTAATCAAAAACACTCGTGATCTCAGCAATTCTCTACTATGTATGCTGATGATACAAGTATGTACTTCAGTCTTAATAGTAAAACTTATCTCAAAAAATGACGTAAAATCTGTTGTTAACTGGGGCAAGGAATGCCTTGTTAATTTTATCGTCTTCAAAACGAAACTGCTCATGTCTGAGAGAAGCCATTTTGGCTTCCATCAACAATGCTAATCTCCAGGTGAGTGACTATTTGGGCTTTTGGCTAATGTTTTTCGCTGTCATAAAGCGGAAAGATTATCTTGAATCAACTGGTAGGCCTGCTGCTAGCAAAATGTTTCAGTTTATCATGCTAAACAATTTTTTCTAACCAGAATTTTATCTTACAGATTTATATATCTAACATTCGTCCATGGTTAAATATTGCTGCCACATCTGGTCTGGTGCTTCTGATATGGATTTAGAAATTCTTGGTAAAATACAAAGAATAATTTACAATATTATTGGGTCTGATCTGGCCTTAGTCTAATTCACATTGACATAACATAGTTTCACTGTACCTTTTCCTTTTTCTATGAATACGTTTGGTAAGAAGAGCAATTATGAGTTCCTTCCACAAAATCAAACTTTGTATTCAGACAAGAATGGACATATTAAACGCCTGTCTGGAATTGACAATCGGAAGCGTGTTGTCTTCTATCAGGACAAATGACGATCTCAAGGTCTCTTTGCAGGGTTGAATTGGTACAGTTTGGCCATTGTGTCCTACTACATAAAACCGTAGTCACCAGCTGTATCTTTCAGATTACCATTTATTTCTATCCTAAAAATTGTCTTTGAAATTCACTTTAAAAAAAACCACTACGAACTTTCATGCCCAATAAACTTTACTTGAAAACTGTTATTTTCTTTGTTCATAAAAATAAACGAATCTGTCCATGTAACTCCTACTGAATGCCGAATCTGTTTTTTCTATACTCACCATTTTTCGATATTATAATTTCCTTTTTTTATGCATACGTTTGGTAAATGATCTCACCATATTAATATCGAGAAATTATAAGACATTTAGGATTCTTAACCTTACACTGCAAAGATTTCAAATAACCTTATTAAAACTGATTAAGTCCTCTAAAGTTGAATGTTTATAAGTAGGTGGTAATCTTTATGCAGTTGGACCTCCGTTGTTCGTAATTTTCATCAACGACCTTACTGATGTCATTCGGTTCTCAACTCGGTATCTATGTCAATGACGCAACTATTTACTCTTGTCGTAATAGTAATTCTGATAAATTCGATAGGGTCAAATTGGCAGCTGATCTAAAACGTGACCTACAGTCTGTTGTTAACTGGGGCAAGGAATGACTTGTTGATGTTAACGCCTCCATAACGAAACGGCTCTCGTTTAATCGTATGAGAGAACCCTTCCTACCTTCCATTTGCATGGCTGATGCTAACCTACAAGAGAGTGGCTCATTGTTCCTTCTCGGCCTAACATTTTCCATTGACATGAAGTCGTTCTAGACAATGTTCCTAACCAGAATCTATCTTACAGATTTATAAGTCTAAAATTAGTCCATGCGTTGAATATTGCTACCACATCTGGTCTGGTGCTTCTGCTATATATTTAGCAATTCTTGGGAAAATACAAAGAAGAATTTGAAATGTTATTGGCCCTGACATGGCATCTCGGCTTCAGTCAATTTCCTACTGTTGTAACATAGCTTGGCTGTACCTTTTCTATAAATATTTTCATGGTAATTGTTCTGATGAAGTTTCCACTTTTGTATTTAGACTTCATGACTTAAAGCGCATTACTAGATTGGTGGCAAGTTCTCAGAATTTTAGATGAAATGGCTAAGATGTAACTGTAAGTTCTATGCTAGTAGTTTCTTCTCTTGCTCTTCTCGTTCATATAACTCTCTTCCGGTTTTTTGCTAAAAATGTCAATCGTTTTCTTCTGTCTTTAATTCTGAATAGAATTATATGTCTCGCTAGAACCTATCTTACAGATTTATAAGTCTACAATTCGTCCATGCGTTGAATATTACTGCTACATCTGGTCTGGTGCTTCTGCTATGTATTTCGAGATTCTTGTTAAAATACAAAGCAGAATCTGCAACGTTATAGGTACTGACATGGTATGTCGTCTTCAGTCACCATAACGGAGCTCTTATAGGTACATCCTCTATAAATACTTTCATGAAAAATTCTTCTGACGAATTTTCCAAAATTTCCTTTTTCTTGAATTTTCCTCAACTAGACTTTATGAATCTAAGGCTCAGTACTAGATTTGCAACACGGTCTTTTGATCTAACAGTTGAATTGGTTAAATTCAAACATAATTTCTATCTAACAGTTTCTTTCCACATATTTCTCGCTCTTCCGGTTTCTTCCATTCAAGCCAATATCGATCGTTATCTATTTTCTTCTTTATTCCTCTTTTTTTCATTGTTTTCGCGCCTTAAAAATGTTTTTCTTTTTTTTCTTACTCTTACACGCTCAGTAAGCCCTTGCATGTTAATAGATTTAGTGTTTTGTTTGGTGTGAAATGATTAAAAAAAAATTGAGGAACAATGTGGGATACTTAAACGTAAAAAAGAAGAATATTCTAACATAATATCTCGCAATAAACACTATATATATATATATATATATATATATATATATATATATATATATATATATATATATATATATCTTTTTGGTTGATTAATATGAGTTTGTGACCCTGAATTCACGCTTTTTCAATCGTCAGACAAACGCAAACAATATACATTATTACATATTATATATATATATATATATATATATATATATATATATATATATATATACACTTTTCATATATATATATATATATATATATATATATATATATATATATATATAC